CTGGTATTCCACTGGAAAGACACTTCAGTGATCTCCAAGGATTGATTACTGTAACATCACGATCGGCTATATTAACAATCAAGAAGAAACCACTTGATGTCGGACTTCACAAGAAACTTGCTGGCATAGATTGCGATCTTAACATCAAGTTTTCTGATCCCAAGATAGTATTTAGCACGGGACAAACGCCTGAGCTTGGAATAGCCCTTGATATCACTGGATTTGACGTCCTTAACAACCTTCTGCCCTTTAAAGTGTTCAAGAACAGATTAGCGATGGATGTCGTTATAACAAAGAAGACAGGATTCGCGTTGAAACTAAAAACAATACCAATTCTGGACAACATTATTCCTTGCACGAAAAATGGGGAGGAGTACACCTGCGATTTTACTTGGCTTTGTCAGGAAGATTCCTTCGTCAACCTTAAACTGCCAAACTTTGGGTACACCAGAGATGGATTTTCAGCAATCATGGATATTCAGGGATTAGAACGGCTATGTATTCCGCTTACGCTACCGTTCCTGAGACAGTTTTTCAGAAACATTCCGTTCGTCCACGATCTGTTGAAGGTAAACATTCCCCTGTGGCCTCCTCCGGATGTGATTGGCCCTTTACGTCGGATTGGCTGCAACATAGACAACCTTCCAAAAGGCATGGAGCGATTCAGAAATCTAGAATTTCCCGAAGAAATAACTGTGGCCTTATCAGTGGCTGAGAACGGCCCCTTAGCTTTCAGTCTTGAGGTTCAGAATGATGAATCAGTCAATGTTATCCTACCAGTAACGCCTGGGAGTAATTTGGCCGGATTCTCGTTAAGCAGATTCTCGATTGGTTCGGCTTTTGGAGTACCTTATGTGGACATAAGTACTGAAATATACCTATGGGATCTTTTACAGTTATTACTCCTCTCAAACATTCCAAGACAGTCTTTTATTACAAATGCAGAGGAAATGGAAACGCGAATAATTTGTAAAGATTGCTTCTTCATAATTGTGAGCGCTTTTCCGATTCCGATTTTTGCCGCCCCGTTTTCCATTAAATATCCCACGCTTATTAATCTGCATGGCCAGGTGACAATCTACCATCGAAGACCTGATTATGGTGAGATTGGTTCCCTCCTTGTAAGACTTTTGAAGTTCTACACAGATGTAAATCATCTACTCTCTTTCGATGATTTTAAAAACAGTACTTTACTCGTCGTGAAACTTTCAGATGGAAATGAGGAGACCATGATAAAATTGCCTATGTTTACTGGCGGCGCAAAGCTCAAACTGAACGTCCCACCGATAGATGCGAAGAGATTTTTGGTTGGCTACATGAACTTCTGGAAAACGTGGGAGCTAAAATGGCTATTGCAGGTTGTGCCACTGAGATACCGTGTTTTAGACACTGCTTTCAAAATCGGTCCATTCCGGTGGCATTTGTTCAAGTTTGCAGCATCTACACCAACCGAGCTAAAGAAGAACAAAGACATCTGGCCGTATGCATTATTAGAAAGTGGGGATGACGCATTGGTAATAGCTTCCGCCGATCTACGTCTTCTCTCTATTGACGCCAAATTTCGAATGAAGAACTTTGGTAATGCTAGCCTCTCCTTGAAGCTGCAGGTTGGTATAAAAAGCCTGATATTAATTGGTTTAACCGCTGAAACGAGGATACAGTTGGAGGATACTTCCAATCCAGTGATGATCTTTGGAAACGCCCAGGTTAAACTTTCTAATAAAGATTTACTAAGTGGCGAGGCGAGAGTATCAATCGATATGATTTCTTTATCTGGGGAGTTAAAATTTAATATTTTCGACGTCCTCGCATTCAGTGGAAAGGTTAAAGCGGAAGTCTATAGTCCGGGCCCTACGTTTGCTCTGGATGCCGATGCAGCTGTCCATCTTATGGGAGTACGGTTGTTCAAGTCACATCTTTACATACAGGTTTCCCCCTTGAAATCAGTTATGAAGGCCACAGCTGTGTTCATGGGATCAAGCTTGAATATTGATCTCATTGTGAATGGTTTATCTTTTAACGTTCAAGCACAAGCAAGACTTCGCTTCCATTTAGAGGTGGATCTTGGTAAAATAAGCGTAGGTGGTGTAGAAATTGGAAGAATTGTGTTGAATACTGGCTTTGATTGTGATTTGAAGATTTCATTTCCAGGTCGTAGTACAATGACTGTCTCGTTTCGTTTCATGGGAACAACACTAAAGCTCTCATTAACATTTAACACAAGAGACGCTAGGCCTGACAGAATTCCTTCGCTTTTGTTGGATCTAATTAAGGATAAAGCTCCTGCTTTGCTAAAAGATCTATTCCGAAAGAATCCTCATGAGATACTGAGAGCACTTGTAGACGGAGTTTTCGATTTAGTTCGTGATGCGGCTGAAGTGATAAAAAACTTACTTAAGACAGGGCTGAATTTTCCGGTCAAAGAACTCGGCAAATTCCTCAACGACCTGGTTGACACCTCGAAGGCCATAAGCGAGGCTGCCGAAAGGTTGGGCAGAGCTGCTGCACAGGCGGCTGCTGCTACGAGAGAGGCGGCTTCCCGAGCGGTAAAGGCTGCTGGGAGAGCAGTTGAACAAGCAGGAAACATTGCACAACAAGCAGGTACACAACTTACTGAAGCAGGAAAAGCCTTACAACAATCCGTGAGAAATGTTATTCGCATCGACAATGCTGTGAAAGAAGCGCAAAGAGTCTTTGAAAACATTTCAATACGATTACAAGATGCAATTAAAGAAATCAGCAAAATAGCTCAAAGAATAAAAGATGAGATAGCCCGAGGCATTCGCAACGCGGCTGGAAAAGTTATAAAAGTTATAAAATCTTTTGGAGGTCTTTTTGGAAAACGGTCAATCTATCGCCGTGATGCTCTCTCCCAAAAACAAAGAGAAAAAGAGAGAGAAAAAAGGAAGCTTCAGAGAAATCAAAGTGATCAAAGAACTCGCATCAGGGCAAAAGAACGCGAGTTGGAAAGAGCACGAAAAGAGGAACAGCTAAGGAGAAACTTGCGAGATGCAGTACAAAAAGAATCACTTCGAGCCACTGGAAATCTAAACAAAGCTTATAAAGAAAAAGCACAGAAAAGGGCTGTCTTTGATGATATTATTAACATGGGTAAGTGCGTAACGGGGGAAAATAACTGTCATCCCAATGCCACTTGCCTTCGGAAGGGACCAGAAGGACAATTGTTTAAATGTGTGTGCAGGCAAGGATGGATAGGAAATGGCACTTTCTGTGAAAGGCCTATTCGAGTTGTGGCCATAATATCGGACAGTCCAAAAGCAGTTGGAGAAGCGATTTTATTCTCTGCATTTGCAATATCAGGAACAAATGTCCAGTACAAGTACAGTTTTAACTCGGCCTTTAGCCAATATGGGTTTACTTCATATACTTTCAACTCGCCAGGTGTCTACGATGTAGGAATATTCGCCAAAAACCATGTCAGCAATGGCACAGCAAGTGACAGAGTGGTTGTTCAAATTCCAGTCACGAATATCACCCTTAATGTAAGTGGAGATCGCAGAGCTTGCCGTGCAATGCGTCTGAGTCCATCAGCCAGCGGAACAAATGTTTCGTTTAGTATTGATTTTGGGGATAACACGTCCCTTTATAATGTTACTGAGACGGTCACCCATCATTTTCCACGGTCGGGAACATTTGTAATAAATATAACTGCTTCCAATCTTGTCAGTACAAACAGTCAAACATTTGTTCTAGACATTTCATCCTCTCCCTGTGATGGCTTGTTCTGCGACATCGTAGCATTGGAAACGACATTTTCAGAGAAAACGGTGATGGAAATTTCGTCACTGGCATGGTCTCTTTTGCATTCAACAGAATCCGGCAATGGAGTCAGACGGTATAACTTGATCTGGAGATACTTATCACTGTTTTACCCGGTGTCCTATTCAGTATTAAAGAAGGAATCCAGCACAGAAAATACCCAAAGAAACCTTGACAGGCAATACAGAATCTCTGGCGCCCACGTTGAAATAGATTTTATTCTGGCGGGGATACTTTCATCTCAAATAAGGCATATCGATGGAAGTGAAAGCTCTCTTTTCCTCCCAAATATTAATAACCCTCTAGAAGCTTTCACGTGGATTACTTCTATACTTTTAAGCACCGACGAGTTTACAAGCACGTGGAATACTTCAAGGGCAAGAAGGGAGCTGTGTCAAGAGCGACTTCCAATGTCAACAATCAGTAGTGCCATTGACGGGTTTATTTTAGGTACGCAGCTAAAGATGACTAATTTGTCTGAAGGTGAAACGCTTTCAGACATTCTGTTTGACTACTACTGTCCATCGAACCCAAATGTTCAGTACAGCTGGAAAAATAGATACAAAAGATTCTATAATCTTTCGAAAATGCCAAACAGCGATGGAAATTGGGATGCGGCGATAATCGCTTCCACCTTTTTAAACCAAACTTCGAACCTGGAAGGTTTTATCCGCCCGCTTAAAGACTTCTGTTTAAGCTATTTCTTGGAAGTTTTGTGGTCGGCATTTAATGCAACAGAATTTCAGAAGGGTTCAGGCGACGAAGACACCTGCAGAGTGTATGCCACTTGCCAACAGTGTATTGTTGGTGGAACTAGTAGTAGCTGTTTTTGGTGCGAAGGTTCCCACGCTTGTCTTTCGAAAGAGAAATTCGCCAGTTGCAGTCAACACCAAGCTATACTCAGCCTACCATGTTCTAGGACATGTCACCACAGTCAGAG